ATTTGGTAAGCTAAGTTCAGACTTAGCAAGTTAAGGGGTTAAATGGTAATTTTTGCCTATTCTTAACCGGAAAAGTCCAACCGTTATAAAAGAAATGAAAGCGCAAGAGCAATCTTCGATTTCGATACAAACTAAGTAGTAAGCACCGCGCAGGTGCAGCCCTGAGCCTCCCTGTTCCGCTCCCTTAAAACCCTTTTCCTTGCGCCAAACTTTGCGGCGATTTTCCCAACCACCAAACACTGCCTTAAAATCTCTCGAAAACTCTCATCCTTTGTTGCCTTCTCTCTCGCATTCCCCGCCGCCGCCGCTGCCTCTCTCATTTCCTCGCCGGCACTCTCTCCCTCTCTTCCCAATGGCTCAGCTGGTTGCCACCAGATTCATCCAGAGCCCGCTGTTGAGTCCCGGCCGCCGATCCGCACAAGGCTGGACGGAGAAGCTCAAGCCTCCGAGCTTCGGTTTGGATTTGCTGGCACGTGACCAGAAGAAGAGCCAAAGAATCGCGTTTAGGAGCACTCGAGTTACTGCTAAGAGATCTGCGCGTGCCGAGCCTGAAGTTGTTCCAGTGTCGCCTGAGGATGTCCCTAAGGTCTATAATTTCTCGAGCTTTCTGTTTGGTTGCTGAGAATTTAACTTTTCTTTTTCTTTTTTCTGTTTTCTATTCAAACGCTGCATGATCTTGGCCCCAAATTTGTAATTGAATTTCATTTTAGTTGATTTATTACTATTATCTGTTGCAGATTGAATTTTGTTGGAAGTAACTATAAAGGTTTTTCCTTTTTTCGGTTTTCAGAGGGTGGAGCAGTATCAGCCTTTAGGAGGGACTCAGCAATTAGATGATACACCAGTGGGTATGTGGTCGAAGCCTATAGTTAGACGTAAGACAAAGATTGTTTGCACCATTGGTCCTTCAACCAATACCCGAGAAATGATATGGAAATTGGCTGAGGCTGGAATGAACGTTGCCCGTCTAAATATGTCGCATGGAGACCATGCTTCTCATCAGAAAGTTATTGATTTAGTTAAAGAATATAATGCACAATCCAATGACAACACTATCGCAATCATGCTTGACACCAAGGCAGGTTTTTTCTTTAATTGAGTTTGTTTTCTACACAAAACAATTATTGCTGGTTAGATGCAGCCATAGCAACATAAACAGCACAATTTTAACTGATATGTATTCTTCATGAGATATTTTTTAGCTTTTCTGATTACTTTTATTATTTTCATAAATTAATTTTATGTTCATTGGTTGGTTCACTTTTAGGGCCCTGAGGTTAGGAGTGGGGACTTGCCACAACCAATTACATTAACAAGTGGACAGGAATTTACTTTTACAATTCGGCGAGGGGTTGGAACTGCTGATTGTGTCAGTGTTAACTATGATGATTTCGTTAATGATGTGGAAGTGGGTGATATGCTTCTGGTCGATGGTATGCTACCTGAATATTTTCATTTCCCCCCCTTTTTGTATCTTCTTTTCTGATCTTCTGCATTAGAAAAGCTTTGAGTAATGTTAAACCTTTCAGATGCAATTGAGACATTGAGTTCAGTAAAGTTAGCTTGCATTGAAACTGTTTTTTATCTAATATCTCATTCGTCATGGCCTGATTAGGACTTAGGAGTAAGACACTAGAAAATTAAAAAAAAAAAAATTGTATGAGATTTTGAAAGATTCCAATCTTACACTCCATTCTCAATAAAGGGGGTATGATGTCATTGGTGGTGAAGTTCAAGACAGAAGATTCAGTCAAGTGTGAAGTAGTTGATGGTGGCGAGCTGAAGTCTAGGCGACATTTAAATGTTAGAGGGAAAAGTGCCACCCTGCCTTCTATCACAGGTTGGTCAGGGATATCAACAGTGCTTCAAAGATTTTCTGCTTCTCACTGTTCTTTTATTGGGTTTATTGAGTTGGAGGATTTAGGAGAGGAATGATTATAAAACAGTGAACATAATTGTTTGATCTTGTTCTTTACAGAGAAGGACTGGGATGATATCAAATTTGGAGTGGACAATAAAGTTGATTTCTATGCTGTTTCTTTTGTTAAAGATGCAGAGGTGGTCCACGAGTTGAAGAGTTATCTGCAGAGTGAGTGTGGATCTTGATCTTTATTCAAAAATTTTTAAAAAAAAAAAAAAAGAAAGAAAAAAAAAAAGGGAATTTAACTACAAGTGCTTCAAGTTCTCCATTATGATGCATTTTCTTTCATTTTTGGCAGGTTGCAATGCAGATATACATGTCATTGTTAAAATTGAAAGTGCAGACTCGATACCAAATTTGCATTCAATTATAACTGCATCTGATGGGGTGAACACTCAAATCCTTTCATTGCATGATCTCCTGCATATTTGATAGTAAATTGATAGCAAATTTTTCTGATTGGTTCAGACTCATGCAACCGTCTGCTGTTAAAAAATTTTCCTTCTGTTTTGGGAAGATTTCTATTAAGGGATAGTTTTTCATTTTGAAAAGAAAAAAGATTAAGGGATAATTTTCATTTTGAAAAGAAAAAAGATCGGTGTCAGGGCAATGATATCAGTCCAAATCCATTTAATTTTAGTTCTTGGTACTTCAGCAATTGTGCTACATGCATATAACAATTCATTGTGGTCTTCTTTTAGGCAATGGTGGCAAGAGGAGATCTTGGTGCAGAGCTTCCCATTGAGGAGGTTCCTCTTCTGCAGGTTTGTTATGTTTCAGTAGGATAAGAGTACCAGTCTTTGCTTTGCTTGTCAAAAGCATTTTCCATATCTAGTTAAGGCTTGAAATCATTTTGTTTTCAGAAACTCATTGATTTTTGGTTTCAAATGCAGGAAGAGATAATCAGAATATGTCGTAGCATGGGAAAAGCTGTTATTGTGGCCACCAACATGCTTGAAAGTATGATTGTCCATCCAACGCCAACTAGAGCAGAGGTATCGGACATTGCCATTGCTGTTCGAGAGGGTGCTGATGCGGTAATGCTTTCTGGGGAAACTGCTCATGGAAAGTAAGTTGTTTATGTATCTTGTTTTTATTTCTAGTTTGACTTGGAAAGTTTCTTAGAATGTTATATTTATATCCTTTCAGATTCCCACTGAAAGCTGTTAAAGTGATGCACACAGTTGCCTTACGAACTGAAGCAACCATAGTTGGTGGCCAAATGCCTCCTAATCTTGGAAAAGTGTTTAAGGTCAGTTAACATGTCTACTGGCTTTCTATGTTGCTTTACTGATCAATCTTTCTTTTCAGATTTTGTTTCTCTTTTTTACTTACTTGAAATCTCCTTTTTTTTCACTGCATTTGTTGTTTGACAACCTACACTGACTGGAAATTCTTCTTCCTTTGTAGAACCATATGAGTGAGATGTTTGCATACCATGCAACTATGATGTCAAACACTCTTGGAATCTCAACTGTGGTCTTCACTAAAACCGGTTTCATGGCCATATTACTGAGCCATTATCGCCCTTCTGGCACCATTTTTGCCTTCACAAATGAGTGAGTTTCACTTGTTTTGATATCCCAAGTTTCTTGTTATCAAAAAATAAATACATCTTAGATTTATATCATGTGGTTGATTAGTCAGATGTTTGCCTGAAATTGTGATGCATCCAATAACACCATAAGATTATACTTTGGTTGACTGACCTATTGACTTTGATGGCTATGTAGGAAGAGGATACAACAGAGACTGGCTTTATATCAAGGAGTTTGTCCCATATTCTTAGAGTTCTCAGATGATGCTGAACACACATTTGCAAATGCTTTAGCTTTGCTGAAGGTAAGTTTTGAACATAGGGTTCTATCATTTCACTTAGATTGGCTGGTGTTTTGGATATATTTGGTTACTTTGGATCCTGGTTACTCATTGATTTAATGCTTTCATATGACTGGCCAGATGGGCCTCTCCTCTACGTGAAGTTTTATTTCTTGTCAAAACGTTGGATTTTTATATTCAAGTCTTTCCATATGCTTTGCTGATTCTTTCATGTCTAATGTTTTTTCTGCCTCCATATACAGAAGCAAGGGATGGTGAAGGAGGGAGAAGAAGTGGCACTTGTTCAGAGTGGCAGACAACCCATCTGGCGCTTCCAATCCACTCATAATATCCAAGTCCGCAAAGTATAAGCGGACAAAAGGCAGAAGTCTGGTCATCCTCGCGCTAGGATAATTTCAAAGGTTCACGAAAAGATTATTAAGAACAGTTTGGGCTTCCCCTATGAGACTGAGGGTTCAAACTGTAGTTTGCTGCTTATTATCTAAGCTTGTGTCTTATTTTTGTAGGCTTCCTTTTCATTATTCCTTGAAGATTTTCCCAAGATAATACGTCTACTTACGGTTTCCTTGTGTTTTTCCGTAAGAAAAGTTCATTGTGTAATTTTTGGTTATTATATCATTGGCAATGTTATAATAATAATATTACATAAAATTATAAATTTATAATTATGATATGATATTAAATATAAATATAATGTGATATTAAATAAATAATTATATTGATATTACAAATAAATATAATATCATAGTACAAAATATTATACTCTTAAAATATCAGATAATATTATAATTATAGCATTTTCATTATCTCATATCCCAATGAAAACATGTTCTTGTGAAGCAGAGAGGCAGTCGGCCATACATGAGACCACAAGGAACACGTAATTTATTTAATTAGTATTAAAATGATGCACTTTCTGAGGATAGTCCAATCCTTACGCTCATATACTTCCCACAATAGCGGCACTGTATTGGGTTTGCTCATCATAGTACCTGTTCCAAAGCATAACTCCTCCATACTTGGCTGACTTCTTTATTACCGGAAGCACTTGTGAAATCAGCACGTTCGGCGGAATATACCCGCTTGAAGCAGCCGCTGGCGAGGCTGGCAACCCCATAAGTATCTTTCCTGCATTGATGGATGTAGTCCACCGGTTCCATGAACTAATGAGATTACTGGTACTACCTGAACTGTACTCGCACTGAAGATTGTTGTAAAATTGAACCCATACGTAGTCGAAGAGGCCGGTATTAAGGGCAGTCCCTAAGTGTGCATCCGGAAATGGGCATTGTGGAGCTGCCGTTAAATATACCTTTCTTCCTTGGCTGCTGTAGCTGGCGAGGTAGCGAGCGAGATAGTCGTAGTACAGAGTCGACCCTTGCTCAATATCGAAGTCAATTCCGTCCAAAACTGCAGGACCTAAAGGACGTGACGATGATTGCCCACCCAAGAAGTTGTTCCAGAGGTATTCCGCTACGGACTTTGCGTCTGCCGGGGAAGCTAGAGAGTAGCTTCCGGCACCGCCTCCTATGGAGAGCATGACCTTGATTCCACGACTTTGGCAAGCTCTTATGCCGGTGCTGACACCGGTGCAGCCGTTGTTTGCTGGGTTACAGTGGCCAGCAAGGTTGATTGCAGGGGTTTGGCCATTTCCGAATTGGTTAAGGAAGGCTATATTAACGTATGAGTAGTTGGTCCCGGGAGCACAGGCTTGGTCCAAGGTTCCTTCGTTGCCGTTTTGGCCCCAGTATGTGGCAATGCCACCCTTGCCATGGCAAGTTACAATGAGGGCTAGGAAGAGGGAAAGGAGCAGAGTAATGACTTGAGATTTTACAGCCATTTCGGATTGAGATATATTCTTAATTCCAATGCGGTAGTATATATAGTTGGCTGGATTGCCCTACGTGTTAAAACTATTTGTACCATAAACCGGCCAAACTTGACTCCAATGGGAAGGATGGATGCAAACTATGCACTAGAACATTCCCTCTGTTCCATACTACTACATATAATTAGCCGTTCTAGTGGGAAAATTTTGTTCCTAAGTAATTGAGGATTTAACATATCAATATTACATTAATTACGTTTTTTTTTTTTCAAATTTAACCTCCTCTTTTAAAATGTCCTTTCCATTCCGCTTATTCATCTGCCTCATTTTTTCACGTTTCCAGTTTTTTTTTTTTTTGTTTTTTGAAATTCATTTTTTCTCCATTTCATTTTTATCTCCTCAATGACTCAAATTTATTTTATGGTTTTACCTCTTTCGTCTTCCCTCTTGTGTTTTATAATTAAAA